GATTTGCCCACTTGAAGGAAGATCAGACTCCCATTGCAAATGAAGGGTGTGTGCAGCAATACTGGCAAGACAGCGGCATTCACGCCAGGCAAACAAATAAAGTCGGCACGATCGTGAAATTGACAGCTCATTGTTGAAGTCGAAAATGGTGAAAATATATTTTTCAAATCACAACATACAGTATCTCTCAAAGTGAGTCCTCCCCTCACATTTCTGTAAATATCTGATTCTATCTTTTCATGTGACGACACTGAAGAAATGACTCTTTGCTCCAGTGTAAAGTAGTGAGCGTGCAGCTTGTATAACAGTGTAAAGTAGTGAGCGTGCAGCTTGTATAACAGTGTAAAGTAGTGAACGTGCAGCTTGTATAACAGTGTAAAGTAGTGAGCGCGCAGCTTGTAGAACAGTGTAAAGTAGTGAGCGCGCAGCTTGTAGAACAGTGTAAAGTAGTGAGCGCGCAGCTTGTAGAACAGTGTAAAGTAGTGAGCGTGCAGCTTGTATAACAGTGTAAAGTAGTGAGCGCGCAGCTTGTATAACAGTGTAAAGTAGTGAGCGCGCAGCTTGTATAACAGTGTAAAGTAGTGAGCGTGCAGCTTGTATAACAGTGTAAAGTAGTGAGCGTGCAGCTTGTATAACAGTGTAAAGTAGTGAGCGTGCAGCTTGTATAACAGTGTAAAGTAGTGAACGTGCAGCTTGTATAACAGTGTAAAGTAGTGAGCGCGCAGCTTGTATAACAGTGTAAAGTAGTGAGCGTGCAGCTTGTATAACAGTGTAAAGTAGTGAGCGTGCAGCTTGTATAACAGTGTAAAGTAGTGAGCGTGCAGCTTGTATAACAGTGTAAAGTAGTGAGCGCGCAGCTTGTATAACAGTGTAAAGTAGTGAGCGTGCAGCTTGTATAACAGTGTAAAGTAGTGAGCGTGCAGCTTGTATAACAGTGTAAAGTAGTGAACGTGCAGCTTGTATAACAGTGTAAAGTAGCGAGCGTGCAGCTTGTAGAACAGTGTAAGGTAGCGAGCGTGCAGCTTGTAGAACAGTGTAAAGTAGCGAGCGTGCAGCTTGTAGAACAGTGTAAAGTAGCGAGCGTGCAGCTTGTAGAACAGTGTAAAGTAGCGAGCGTGCAGCTTGTAGAACAGTGTAAAGTAGCGAGCGTGCAGCTTGTAGAACAGTGTAAAGTAGCGAGCGTGCAGCTTGTAGAACAGTGTAAAGTAGCGAGCGTGCAGCTTGTAGAACAGTGTAAAGTAGCGAGCGTGCAGCTTGTAGAACAGTGTAAAGTAGCGAGCGTGCAGCTTGTAGAACAGTGTAAAGTAGCGAGCGTGCAGCTTGTAGAACAGTGTAAAGTAGCGAGCGTGCAGCTTGTAGAACAGTGTAAAGTAGCGAGCGTGCAGCTTGTAGAACAGTGTAAAGTAGCGAGCGTGCAGCTTGTAGAACAGTGTAAAGTAGCGAGCGTGCAGCTTGTAGAACAGTGTAAAGTAGCGAGCGTGCAGCTTGTAGAACAGTGTAAAGTAGCGAGCGTGCAGCTTGTAGAACAGTGTAAAGTAGCGAGCGTGCAGCTTGTAGAACAGTGTAAAGTAGTGAGCGTGCAGCTTGTGTAACAGTGTAAATCTGCTGTCCCCTCAAAATAACACATCACACAGCTGTGTCTAAACCGCTGGCAACAACAGTGAGTATTGGGCCCAAAGAGTCATTATTTTGTGGGGCCACCATTATTTTCCAGCGCTGCCTGAACCCTCTTGGACATGGAGTTCAGCAGAGCTTCACAGGTCGCCACTGGAGTCCTCTTCCACTCCTCCATGACGACATCACGGCGCTGGTGGATGTTAGAGACCTTGCGCTCCTCCACCTTCCGTTTGAGGAGCCCCACAGATGCTCAGTAGGGTTCAGGTCTGGAGACATGCTGGGTCAGTCCGTCACCTTTACCCTCAGCTTCTTTAGCGAGGCAGCGGTCGTCTTATAGGTGTGTTTGGGGTCGTTATCATGTTGGAACGCTGCCCTGCGGCCCGGTCTCTGAAGGGAGGGGATCCTGCTCTGCTTCAGTATGTCACAGGACATGTTGGCATCCGTGGTTCCCTCAATGAACTGGAGCTCCTCAGTGCCGGCAGCACTCATGCAGCTCTAGACCAGGACACTCCCACCACCTGCTGGACTGTAGGCAGGACTCACTTGTCTTTGTGCTCCTCACCTGGTTACCGCCACACACGCTTGACACCGTCTGAACCAAATAAGTTTATCTTAGTCACGTCAGACCACAGGACCTGGTTCCAGTAATCCATGTCCTCAGTCTGCTGGTCTTCAGCAAACTATTTGCAGACTTTCTTGTGCATCATCTTTAGAAGAGGCTTCCTTCTGGGATGACAGCCATGCAGACCAGTTTGATGCAGTGTGCGGCGTCTGGTCTGATCCCTGACATGTTTACCCCCCACCACTTCAACCTCTGCAGCAATGCTGGCAGCACTCAGACGTCTATTTCCCAAAGACAACCTCTGGATACGACGCTGAGCACGTGCACTCAGCATGGGGAGGCCTGTTCTGAGTGGAACCTGTCCTGGTGAACCGCTGTATGGTCTTGGCCACCGTGCTGCAGCTCAGTTTCAGGGTCTTGCCAATCTTCTTTACAGTAAAGGTACTTTATTTGTCACATAGCGAAATTCTTTCTCTGCATTGATCCCTAGAGGGAGCAGTTTGGGACCAACTCCAGATGTATATCAGTGTTTTTTGGTCAATGGCACTGGCTGAAGAACCTAACATGTCTCAGATGGCGGGGGAAACGGGAGCACCCAGACACGTGGAGAACATGCAAACTCCAAACAGAAAGGCCGGAGCAACTTGGGTTTGAACCCAGGACCTTCTTGCTGTGAGGCCACAATGCTATCCACTGGTCCACCGTGCCGCCCTAGGCCAACAAGTCTTTGTTTCAGATCCTCAGCTGTACTCACTACTTTACGCTGTTATACAAGCTGCACGCTCACTACTTTACACTGTTATACAAGCTGCACGCTCACTACTTTACACTGTTCTACAAGCTGCACGCTCACTACTTTACGCTGTTATACAAGCTGTACGCTCACTACTTTACACTGTTCTACAAGCTGCACGCTCACTACTTTACGCTGTTATACAAGCTGTACGCTCGCTACTTTACACTGTTACACAAGCTGCACGCTCACTACTTTACGCTGTTATACAAGCTGTACGCTCACTACTTTACGCTGTTCTACAAGCTGTACGCTCGCTACTTTACGCTGTTCTACAAGCGCTCGCTACTTTACACTGTTCTACAAACTGCACGCTCACTACTTTACACTGTTATACAAGCGCTCGCTACTTTACACTGTTCTACAAACTGCACGCTCACTACTTTACACTGTTCTACAAGCTGCACGCTCACTACTTTACACTGTTATACAAGCTGCACGCTGACTACTTTACGCTGTTCTACAAGCTGCACGCTCACTACTTTACACTGTTATACAAGCTGCACGCTGACTACTTTACGCTGTTATACAAGCTGCACGCTGACTACTTTACGCTGTTATACAAGCTGCACGCTGACTACTTTACGCTGTTATACAAGCTGCACGCTGACTACTTTACGCTGTTATACAAGCTGCACGCTGACTACTTTACGCTGTTATACAAGCTGCACGCTGACTACTTTACGCTGTTATACAAGCTGCGCGCTCACTACTTTACGCTGTTATACAAGCTGCGCGCTCACTACTTTACGCTGTTATACAAGCTGCGCGCTGACTACTTTACGCTGTTATACAAGCTGCGCGCTGACTACTTTACGCTGTTATACAAGCTGCACGCTGACTACTTTACGCTGTTATACAAGCTGCGCGCTCACTACTTTACGCTGTTATACAAGCTGCGCGCTCACTACTTTACGCTGTTATACAAGCTGCGCGCTGACTACTTTACGCTGTTATACAAGCTGCACGCTGACTACTTTACGCTGTTATACAAGCTGCACGCTCACTACTTTACGCTGTTATACAAGCTGCGCGCTCACTACTTTACACTGTTATACAAGCTGCGCGCTCACTACTTTACACTGTTATACAAGCTGCGCGCTCACTACTTTACACTGTTATACAAGCTGCGCGCTCACTACTTTACACTGTTATACAAGCTGCGCGCTCACTACTTTACACTGTTATACAAGCTGCGCGCTCACTACTTTACACTGTTATACAAGCTGCGCGCTCACTACTTTACACTGTTATACAAGCTGCGCGCTCACTACTTTACACTGTTATACAAGCTGCGCGCTCACTACTTTATGCTGGAGCAAAGAGTCATTTCTTCAGTGTCGTCACATGAAAAGATAGAATCAGATATTTACTCACTTTGTGAGATGTTCAGAACAATTTATATATTGCGGTGTGAGTTTTTTGCAATATCGTGCAGCCCAAGTGGACGCCACACGCAGTTTAGCCGTCACGTACCGGTACAGGTGGGCGGCGTGGGCCTGGTGGGACCTGCAGAGCGGCGGGGCCCCCTTCTGGCTGAGAGAGACTCCTGACACTTTAATCTCTGCTTGATTAAACTTTTTTTTTTTTTTTTTAAGTTCTTAAAAAATAAAAAGGAGGACAGCCGAGCTCAGATCGACTTTGTGGCTTTGATGGAAAGAAAAGAGGAGAAAAATAAAAACACTGCAGGAATTTTTCACCAGTTTTCCTTTTGCTTCAGATTTCAGCCTCAAAAAACAAAAAAGAAAAGGAGAGAAAATGAGAAACAGACCGAGGGAGGAGGTGGAGGGAGGGAGAGGGAGGAGTTGTGGTGTCGGTCTGCAGCTCAGATCAGATTCTCACACAAAAGCCTGAAGCTGCTGAGAGACGGCCGACCGTCTGACTGAGTGTTTGGACAAACTGACGCTGGAATGAAAGAAGGAAAGTGAAGCAACAACAGCAGCAGCAGGAGGAGAAATCAACAACATGTGAAGGCAGATCTGAGTCGGAGCTGAGTCGGCACATTCTGGGAGAAAACTTCTTCAGGAGGAAACGGAGACGACGGCGGCTCAGATCACGTTTCATCTGGACAAAGTTATTTTTTCTTCTCTTTGTGTCCGTCCTGATCTGATCTCTGAGCAGTTTGAGCGACGGGAAAGCAGCTGAGCAGCAGCGGCGGCTGATCTGGAGATGGTTTTTACTGTTGAATCACACGAGCTGGTTTCTTCTGAGGGGAGGCGAGGAGCCGGAGATGGAGACAAGACGGCTGTTCAGATTTCTTATTAAAGAGTAACAGAAGAAGAAGAAGAGGAGGAGATGGGAGAGAGAGGGGGAGGATGAAGGAGACGCTTCTGCTCCGACTTCCAACACATGAAGTTTCTTTAAGCTGTGAAGCAGACAGATGATGCTGACGGCTGGATTTCTGTGTCGACCTGGTATCAACTCTGAGGAGCAAACAGGAAGTGACTGAGTCAGACTTGATTTCAAGCAGAAACTTTCAGATTAAGTGTCTCATTTTTTTTTAAACACAGAGACATGAAGATGGACTGAGACACGTCAGACACAGACAAACCTCAGACGTGCGTCCAGGTGTCTCGACGTACCTGCTCAGGGTGTCGGGATGCAGCTGAACCGACCTCCCAGCGGCCTGCTGGGCTTCAGCCTCCCTCCTCCTCCTCCTCCTCTTCCTCCTCCCTCCTTCTCCAGTCAGTTCAGCACCATGAGGTTCTCTTACCACCTGAGCAGCAGCTCCACCTGCAGGACAGGTGAGTGAACCGCGGCTTCTGTGTGTGTTTGTGTGACTGATGATGAACTGAACGTACTGAACCTGTGAGGATGTGGAAACATCTGGCTCTGTAGCTGCTGAGCTGCTCGGGGACGGCGGCTTTTTACAACTTCTATGAAAGAAATATCTGAGCGCCAAGAGTGAATCAGAACAGTGAAGTTGCAGCCGGGCACAGAACCGTCTTAGGAAGAAAAAGATAATTTTATTTTTATATGAAAAATATTCTCATGTAAAGCTCGGGTAGCAAAATTACTACTGTTACTATATATACGTACAAGGTTGATCTTAGACCCGGACTACGGTTTCCAGGACTGAGTTAGGTGATGCATTTTTACGGCATTCGCACCTTTTCAAGTTAACGTGAGGATTCACATTTAGAAACGATCAGATTTGCTGTTCTGATATGTGGATATGGTTCCCTTCTTGATGGCGTAGAAGATCCCGTGGAGCTCGGTGAGACGGTCTCTCAGGAGGGTTCAGAGACCAGCAAACCCCTTTAGCTTTCCCTGATCAGCAGGAGGGCCCAAAGCTTCTGATGTCGTCCTGCAGAGACTGACTGAAGAACAGGAAGCCGACTCACTGCTTTGAATTGTGTTTGTATGTTTATTTATCTGTCGCTCCAAAGTCGTTTCTTACCGACGGGGTTGCAGTTGAAAGAATTAGATTGAAATGGTCACATAACAAGAACACAGCTAAGAAACACGATCATTTAATCGAACACACAAATGTGAGGAGGAAAAAATAAAAGGGAAAGTTCATGTATTTTTATATTATGGCAGTGATGGAGGACAGAACCCAAAGTTGCTCTTCTGCAGGAAACGCCGTCTGAAACACAAAGAGGGAATTTCAAACTAAATGTACTGAAGCTCTGGAAGATTCTCGCTTCGTTTGTTTAAATCGGACTGACGAAGCGTCGGGTGCAGAGCTTCTCCACCGCCTCAGTCGCTGCAACTTACACGACCCACATAATGTACGGTGCTGCAACAAAACCACAGAGGAAGACCGACCCACTACAGGAACTTTACTTACAGCCCGTCGTCACCCAGAAAGCGGCAACATTGGTCGATTTACCTGTGCGACCTCTTGTGGCCGTGTGACGAAGTGCATGTGAATTTTCAGATATGAATAACTACTACTGTGGATTCTAGAGCTTCTACTGTTTCTACAGTTTCTACTGTGGATTCTAGAGCTTCTACTGTTTCTACAGTTTCTACTGTGGATTCTAGAGCTTCTACTGTTTCTACAGTTTCTACTGTGGATTCTAGAGCTTCTGCTGTTTCTGTGGATTCTAGAGCTTCTGCTGTTTCTACAGTTTCTACTGTGGATTCTAGAGCTTCTACAGTTTCTACTGTGGATTCTAGAGCTTCTACTGTTTCTACTGTGGATTCTAGAGCTTCTACAGTTTCTACTGTGGATTCTAGAGCTTCTGCTGTTTCTACTGTGGATTCTAGAGCTTCTGCTGTTTCTACTGTGGATTCTAGAGCTTCTGCTGTTTCTACTGTGGATTCTAGAGCTTCTGCCGTTTCTAGATTTGACTGTTTTACATTTTTTAGTGTTGTTTCTCAATTCAGTTCAATTCAAGACCTTTATTTGTCCCAGAGGGGCGATTAGTTTTGTTTGTGTTGTTTCTAGAGTTTCTACTGCAGATTACAGCATCTATTGTTATTTCTGGAGTTTTACTGTTGTCTGTTATTTCCAGAGCTTGTACTGTTTTTTTGTTTCTGTTGTTGTTACTGGAGATTTTACTCTCGTGTCTGTATTGTTTCCAGAGTTTTTATTGTGTCTGGAGTTTCTACTGCAGATTACAGCGTCTATTGTTATTTCTGGAGTTTTTACTGTTGTGTCTGTGTTGTTTTTTAGAGCTTCTACTCAGTGTGCGAACTAGAGCTTCTACTGTGGGTCAGAGCTTCTATTGTTGAGTTGTTCTACTGTTGATTCTAGAGATTCTGCTGTTTCTAGATTTGACTGTTTTACTGGCGACCTTCGCCTGGGAGACCGGAGTTCAGTTGCCGTGTGAAACAGAAAGGCGACATCAGTTTTTGTTTTTTTGTGTATTATTAGTGTTATAAATAATTTTGGTGTTTTTTGTGCATTTTATAGCGTTTCATGTAGCCTTAGCGGGTTTTTGTAGCACTAGCTACCGTTAGCGCTGGCATTAGCTAATGCTAACTTTGTTATTGTTAAAGGGGGGTGGGGGGGGTTACCAGTTAAGCCAAAGCCGATGTGCTCTGTCTTGGATAACTGCAGGTCTTTGATATTTTTACCTACTTAGTATAATTTTTTTACGGAAAGCTTCACTTATATGTTATCTTACTTATTGTAACATTTGATTTTTATACATGTATGGTCTACTGTTATTTCTTATCTTTTGCATTTTCTGCTGAACTTGCTTCGCCGGTACCATCGGGCTGAGGTGTAGTTTTTGTCTGTGTATGATTTCTCTCTGGAGACAATAAAGTTCATCTCCTCTCAACCTCCCTGTGTTGCTACGGGGAACAGAAAAAGGTCATAAATGTCGTTTTGGAGACATCAACTATCAAACTGTTCTGTCGTTTCTATGTGAGGTCGTGTTGTTGCTTACTGCAGTCTAACTGCTATAAAGTGTGGCAACAACCTCATTTATTATAATCAGTCCAGCTCACTAATCGTTTGATTATCATCCAATACATTTAGCTGTGCTCACATTGCTGAGCCTCCGGTGAAAGATAGCCAGCAGGCGAGCTAACGCAAATGTATTGTGTCGGCTAAATGCAGTCGATGTAACCTTATCATATAACGAGCACGGATTAGTTCAACCTGTAGCTGATAAAAACATTATTGTGACGTTGCAGGAGTTCCCAGCATGTTCTGTGTCCGATTCTGCTCGCTCATGAGTTCAAAAACAAAAGTGCATTGTCCAACAAACGTAACCAAAGCTAAACAAACAAGCTGCTGATTCCTGCATTTAATTGTTATATTTTTTATATTCTAAATTGTCAACTGGCAGCTGAATTTTGTTTTTGCCTTTATATAAATAAAAACATTTCCACCCCCCCCCCCCCTCATTTATTTCAGCATTGAATATTTATTCAAAATAGCATTTAAAGAGCTTCTCGTCTTGTTCTCGTGACACCGATATTGTGCTTCATCACGTCTCGTGAGCAAAGTGTATCATCACGTCCAAACCCCGCTGATCTCCCCCAGTGGCACAGCCGCCGCATGTTGGGAGTTAAAGCTTCTCTTTGCCTCGGAGCCTGGAAGCTAGAGGTACCAGAAGGACAGGAGTCGAACTCGAGCATAAAGCCATCTGAGGCTGATTGTGCTATTGGACGATATAAACGTTGAGTCGTACCGGTCGTGTGCAGAGAGTTCAGACTGAGGCCTGACACGATCACAGTCACTGTCCCGAGACGGATCGATGGAAAAGAAGCTGATCGTTGTCAGCTGGACTGAGTCAGTCTGTAACGCTTTCATTTCCACGTCTCGCATGTAAACTGTTTCTTTGTTGGACGAACGGATACGCGGTTTACTCATAGTTTCATGAAGACCTGGTCCAGGAGTGGGGGACTGGGTGAGCTGAATGTGGAACATGGCCTTTAATAATCTTATTAGAGCACAGAAGCTGTTATTAAAGAGCGTCAGGTGTGAATCTAATCTTTCTGAAATGAACTCATGTGGTTTCAGACATGTTTGGTTAGTGAAGTCGGTGAAGTGGTCTCAGTGTTCAGCAGAAGCCCCCCCCCCTCGCCATGTCCTCCCAGCATGCCGTGCAGCAGGAGGATATGTAGAGGCAGATATGAGCAGATATGGATGAAGAGCTGAGGGTTAAAAACAGACGACTGACTGAACAGGAACAAACCTCAGAGACGCCGACACATTCTGCACCACTGCTGACAGTAGAAGCTACTCTACTCCTGTTTCTACTGTGGGTCAGAGCTTCTATTGATTCTTCTAGAGCTTCTACTGTGGATCCAGAGCTTCTATTGATTCTTCTAGAGCTTCTACTGTGGGTCAGAGCTTCTATTGATTCTTCTAGAGCTTCTACTATTTCTACAGTTTCTACTGTTACTGGAGTTTCTACTGTTGATTCTAGAGCTTCTGCTGTTTCTAGATTTGACTGTTTTACTGTTTTTCTTGTTGTTGTTTCTAGAGCTTCTACTGTTTCTACTGTTACTGGAGTTTCTATTGTGGATTCTAGAGCTTCTACTGTTTTTCCTGTTGTTGTTTCTAGAGCTTTTACTGTTTCTACAGTTTCTACTGTTACTGGAGTTTGTACTGTGGATTCTAGAGCTTCTACTGTTTCTACTGTTACTGGAGTTTCTACTGTGGATTCTAGAGCTTCTACTGTTTTTACTGTTGTTTCTCAATTCAATTCAAGACCTTTATTTGTCCCCGAGGGGCGATTAGTTTTGTTTGTGTTGTTTCTGGAGTTTCTACTGCGGATAAGAGCGTCTATTGTTATTTCTGGAGTTTTACTGTTGTGTCTGTTATTTCCAGAGCTTGTACTGTTTTTTTGTTTCTGTTGTTGTTACTGGAGATTTGACTGTATTGTTTCCAGAGTTTTTATTATGTCTGGAGTTTCTACTGCGGATAAGAGCGTCTATTGTTATTTCTGGAGTTTTACTGTTGTGTCTGTTATTTCCAGAGCTTGTACTGTTTTTTTGTTTCTGTTGTTGTTACTGGAGATTTGACTGTATTGTTTCCAGAGTTTTTATTATGTCTGGAGTTTCTACTGCGGATAAGAGCGTCTATTGTTATTTCTGGAGTTTTACTGTTGTGTCTGTTATTTCCAGAGCTTGTACTGTTTTTTTGTTTCTGTTGTTGTTACTGGAGATTTGACTGTATTGTTTCCAGAGTTTTTATTATGTCTGGAGTTTCTACTGCGGATAAGAGTGTCTATTGTTATTTCTGGAGTTTTACTGTTGTGTCTGTTATTTCCAGAGCTTGTACTGTTTTTTTGTTTCTGTTGTTGTTACTGGAGATTTGACTGTATTGTTTCCA